TTTTTTATCTTAAATTTTTTAATTATATTATATATAATAAACATGCATGTAAATTACACAAGCTAAAAAACTATATAGCACCAATCCAAAATAAAAATAAAAAGTAAAAAATTCGCTACAAGATTTTAACATTCAGTATAAAATGAAAGTTAAGAAACTTAATGAAACAAATGTTAAATAAAAAATGAATACCTCAAGGTGAAACTGATAATTTATTCAACTTGTGATTAATTGATGTCCAATAAATGATGATGTGTGCTTTAGACTTCTTATCAACCCTACAACAATTTTTAAATGTAGTGTAAAATCTTTCTTCTAATATTTAAGAGTGATTTAGATGAGAAATTTAAATGGAGTAATTCATTTTTTTTAAGAATTTCAAATGCCTTAAGATAAAATGTTATTTTGTTTGAATGAAAAATTTATAAAAATTTTGAAATTTAAGCATTTGTAAAATTCTTTAAAATAGTAGCATTTCAAACTCTCTCAAAAAAGTAAGAATTTGAAATTTCTCATTTTTTTTCTTCTTATTTCACTTATATATTTTATCTTATCTCTTATCTCTTCATGTTTTAAATTATTGAATATTCAAAAATATTTTTTAAATTATTAAATATTATCTAATATTAATTTTAAAATTATTAAATATTTAAAAATTAGCTAGTATTTATTTTTTTATAAAATTTAATTTAAAAATATCAATATATATAAATATTTTTAAAATCAATTTAACCATGGTGGAATCAAACTATTATATCCAACTCAGCAATTTAAAATTTGAGAAATTTGAATTAACTTATCCAAACAAAATATCTTAAGAATGATAGAAATTGAAATTAAAGTAATTCAAATACCAAGAATTTAAAGTTCCTTGTATTTGTAAAATTCCTCATCTAAATATATCATAAATTCATATAATTCAGAGTACTTTCCTTAATAGTGTGTTTAGATGGGGAATTTAAATTAAGTAATTCATTTATTTGAAGAATTTCAAATTTTTTGGAGTGAAATACCTTGTTTGGATGGAGAATTTATAAGGAATTTGAAATTTAAGTATTTGTGAAATTACTTAAAATAGTAGAATTTCAAATTCTCCCAAAAAATTAAGAATTTGAAATTCCTCATATTTGTTTTTCTTATTTCAATTATATATTTTATCTTATCTCTTATCTCTTCATTCTTTTAATTATTGAATATTCAAAAATATTTTTAAAATTATTAAATATTACCTAATATTAATTTTTAAAATTATTAAATATTTAAAAATTAGCTATTATTTACTTTTAAAAAATTTAATTTAAAAATATCAACATATAAATATATTTTTAAACAACAATTTAAAATTTGAAAATTTTGAATTGACTTATCCAAACAAAATATTTTAAGAATGATAGAAATTGAAATCAAGGTAATTCAAATACCAAGAATTTTAAATTCCTTGAATTTGTAAAATTGCTCATCTAAACACACCATTAATTTTTTTCGTAAAAAAATATTCCTGCAGAATTTCTTGCAAAAAAAATTCGCAGGAAATTTTTTTTTTAAGGAAACTTTCCTGCGAATTTTTTTCGCAGGAAAATTTCCTGCAAATTTTAAAATTTGTAAAAATATATTATCCACAAAGATATTACCCACAGATAAAATTTCGCAAAAAAATGTGTAGGAACAACGTTTCCTGCGAGAAAAGTCGCATGTAATAAAAAAAATTATAGTTTTGATTATTTATTTATCTAAGTAAGACATAATATTTCATATATGATAACATTATTTATGCACTATTAAGAGAGAGAAAATTATTAATACAAGTATCAATAATTAAATATGACTTATTCTGTTATTTAATTTTATAACTTTTAAATTATATCATAAATATTTTGTGTGTTATGATTTAAAAAATATATAAACTTCAAGAAACAATATTAAAGAAAGAGTTAATAAATTATTATTTTTAAATTAAAATATAATGAAAAGTTTCATATATATAAGATTAACATTGTATAGATAAACATGTATACAATTAACAAAATATAAATTAACTTTAATTTTTTTCTCATTTTAACTAATAATGTTATTATAAAATAGGTGAGTAATTTTTAAAAATAAAAAAAATGTGTCATTTAAGTAAATCTCAGAAGAAGTGAGTACAATTTTTTTCGTAAAAAGATTGATAATATAATAAAAAATGTTGTATGATTTATTATTTGTGTATCATTACTCCTTGCATATATATACCGGTGTTAGCCATTCTGCCCAAGTTACATCTTTCCTTCCACTCTCTTTAAATACTCACCAACCATCTTTCTTTTTCTTCCCTAACTCTCACAATTCCAAACCCAACGAGAGAGAGAGAATTATGGTGGTTTTCTTTCCTCAACCCTTTGCTCTCTTCTCTCATCACCCACTTCCCTTTCTTCTTCTTAATTATTTTTATCACTCTGCTTCATCTATAGTTTAATCTAATTCACTTTTTTTTTTCTTTTCAATTCTCTTGTATAGGAATTAGAACGAAACCAAGCAACTAGATGGGAAGGATATGTTAATTGGAGGAACAAGCCAGCTCTCAGAGACCGCCATGGTGGCATGCTTGCAGCTTCCTTCGTTTTAGGTCTGTCCCAAATTCTCCTCCCTATATGAGTCAATAGTTTATACATATACATATACTTACATAATTATTTGTGTATTTAATTTATATGAGTTTGGTTCAGGATCGACATATATAAAGTAAAAAATAACCTACATTAAATGTCATCTATACAGTATAGTGATTAGGAGGTTATGTTAGTAGATTTGAACACACTCCTTCATTGTAACTTCAGTGTTATGTATAGATGAATGATGATAGATATGAATAATATGTGACACTAACTTCAAAGTGTGTATTGGAGCAGTGGCGGAGATAGTGGAGAGTTTGGCATATCTAGCAAATGCAAGCAATTTGGTGTTGTATTTGAACCAGCACATGCACATGTCACTGTCCAAATCAGCCAACGATGTCACAAATTTCATGGGAACGGCCTTCTTCCTTGGCCTCCTTGGAGGTTTCTTATCTGATGCTCTATTCACCACTTATCACATCTTCCTCATAAGTGCACTTATTGAACTCCTGGTATGCACCCTCCACCAACATATATCTATCAAACATCACTTGGGAATTAATATAGGTTATTTTAAAATTCAATTTAGTTCTTTTTTTTTTTTAATGATTCTAATTGACATCAATGGATTAATGAAATATGATAGAAGAAAAATGTTGAACATCTTTTAAAAATTATAGACAAAATTAAATTATTTAAAATATTTAATTTGATCTCACCATTTTTAAAATGTTCAATTTGGTTTTCTGATTTTCAAAAAAAAAATTCAATTTTATCCTTTTACTTAATTTTATTAATGTGGTTAATGTTAATTTGAACAAAAAATAATATAAAATATTTTTTAAAATTAAAAGGCCAAATTAAATTTTTTTTTAAATAATAGAATTAAGAGAACTCACACACTTCAAAATCTGCTATTACGTAATTACTATTGATTATTAATACCTTTTTATTTCCCTTTCCCATTGTTCTATGATTACTGGTTTAAAAGAATGAAAGGGGGAGAAGAGATTAAATTTTGATTAGTAGTATTATATTAGGTTCCTTACAGAGAAATCGTGCTTCAAAAACTGCCATGTGTCCCTTTGATTCACTTTCTTTTTGCTGTATTAATTTGTTCACGCACCGGGCACTTGGTCATAGAAAACTGGAAACCTTATGAATTGCATGAGCTAGCGTCCAAGTCCACTATAATACAAGTAATGGCATGTTTGCTAAGCGATCCAGATTCATGTATGTAGAAATGTGCCATAAAATTAAATCCCTCGAATTCAAAGAGAAAGAAATAATGAATTATAGGATAACTTTTATATAATAAAAAATAATAAATGATCTTTATATTTTTTATAACTTTTTTTCTCTTTTAAGGGATATATTTACAATTCTATATATATAATTTTTTATTTGTTTTATTTTACTTTGTACACTATCAAATAAAAGTATATATATATATATATATATATATATATGTATATTTCCTTATATTATTTTTTTTTACTAAACAACATATAAATCCACATTAGCAAAGGACGAAGGTTCTTGTGATGCAAGGGTGGCCTTGACCCCAAAAAAATTATATACACACATTAATTGAGATCATTCAAAAAGAAAAAGAATAATTATAATTATAATTATTAATTATTAATTATATATAATTAATAATAATTTTATAAAATTCTATTTTTATAATTTGTTTTCCTTAATTTTGCCTTCAATCTCTCTCTTCCTTTATCATTATAGAAAAGTATTTTTAGATGCCATAAATGATATTATACACCTAGTGGGAGAGAGAGAAAAAAAAAACTCCATTGGAATTACTCATGGGTTATTTTATATTAAAATATTATTTTGATATGTCACATATAATTTTGAGTTACTTATTAAAATTAAATAGAGTTATTTATATAAATTTATTTTTTTTACTTAAAAATATTTATGTGTACTTTTAGAAGGGAAAATATGGATATTAAAGAAAGAGAAAATATATATATTTGTGAGATAAACAATTTTTGAATAGAGTATTAGAGTTTAAAATTGAGGTGATATGAATAAACTTACTTAAAACAATAAAGTGAATTGTTTATTTTAAAATTAAATGAGTCGCTTAAAATTGAGGTAGTATGAATGAACCACTTGAAAAAAATATAATGTTATTGGTTACTTATTTGAATTTTGAAGAACATTTTAAGTTCAAACCTTATTCACTACATTTAAGTTTTTTGATAAAAAAAATCATTTAAAAATTCTTATAAATGCTATCTTGAAATTTTAAGAAAGATATACATTTTTATTGCAATTAAGAATAGTTAATGTTAAATAATTTAATTGAAATTTAATAATTTTAATTATTTTAAAATGTTAAAATGTTTCATTGACTTTAAATTTTAAAATTGTTATAACTGCTTTCTAAAAATAGTAAATAGTTGCCGTTATATAATTAAATTTTAAATTTACAAAATTGTATTATTAAAAAACTATTATGAATATTTTCTTGAAATTTCAAAATTTTAAAAATATTATAAATTCTTAAAATTTCTTTTTGTATGGCTATGGAAATAACGTGTATTTTATATGTTGATATTATTATTACTATTATTATTATTTTATGAATAAAAAAACAACTAATTTATAGGATTGATGAAAATTTGTGGCAATTGACGAGTGTGATTCCTATTTTTGTCTTATGCATATGTACCTTATATAGTACATAATTATTCAAAAATTTATTTATATTATTTAATATACGAAAAGATATTATTTTCAGTAATTTATAATTTCATTATTAAATTATTATTTTTGAATTTTTATTTTAAATCCAATTTGTCTTTCAAAATAATAAAAAAAAATGTCACTTGGATACAATTTGTTTTCCATACATCGCATAAGATCAAATTTAACACAATGAATGTGGTATATATAAATATACTGACATCCTACATTAAATATTTGGTTTTCAATTCATATTGTTTCCTTCACTCAATTAATTTTGTTTCCAATTTTTTTTATAGAATGATAAATTAACAAACTTTACAAAAATGGCTTTAATAAAATAATATGTGATTTTAGTTAAAATAATTTTTTACTTGTTTTCTTATAAATTAATCTTTTATGACAAAAAAAGCTTCTTATTTAAGTTCGAGACATTTAAACATTATTAATCTTTTTTTATTTGTTTTCTTGTAGTTATATTGTAAAGTAAGGTCATTCAGTATTTTTTTTCTTATTAATGAACAAGTTCATATTAATTAATAAATTATTCTTTTATAATAATAAAATAAGTTTTTTATTGCAAAAAATTAACAAAATTAGTGATATATATATATATAGTTAATCATCCATATACTGCTAGTGTAAAGTTTTTTACACTGGCAACCAATCATATTTTTTAAATTATTTTATTTTATTTTTATTTTATTAAATAAGCAACTGATATGACAATATTAAAATATATGATTGGTTGCCCGTGTAAAAAAATTTTACACTAGCAATGTATAGGTGATTAACTCACAAACACACACACACACACATATATATATATATATATATATATATATATATATATATATAACACATAAAATAAAATGCTCCCACCAAAATATAGAAATTGAAATAAACAAATGAAAAGAATATACGATATTCTTATTTTACTTTATTATTTTGCACAAGTGTACATGACTAAGGGAATGGGAACTTATTAAGTGTAGGGGTTGATTGTACTCACTGTACAAGCACGTTCACCTTCACTACAGCCACCAACATGTGACTCAGCCACCACCCTATGCCATGAAGTTAGTGGTGGAAAAGCAGCAATGTTGTATGCGGGTCTTTATCTAGTGGCTCTTGGAGTTGGAGGGTGTAAGGGGTCTTTGCCATCACATGGTGCTGAACAATTAGATGAGAACACCCCATCTGGAAGGAAGCAACGATCAACCTTCTTCAACTACTTTGTCTTTTGCTTGTCAACTGGTGCCCTTATTGCAGTCACATTTGTGGTGTGGGTTGAAGACAACAAAGGCTGGGAATGGGGTTTTGGAATCTCTACTATAAGCATATCTTTGTCTATCCTAATCTTCTTGGCAGGCTCTACTACCTATAGAAACAAGATCCCTTCTGGAAGTCCACTTACAACCATTCTCAAGGTAATAATAACTATCATGTTTTGCTGCTCCCAGCTATGTGCTTAGTTATAAGGAAGTATTTGCCCTACTTTTTAGGATTTTTCTTCTAAGCTGGACCAAATAATTTTGAAGAAGGTTTTTATTAAAAGTAAAGTAGCTTCTTTATTTTTATCATAAAAGACTAAAACTCAACCTTAAACTACTTGAGTTGTGTTTGAACAAACTTTGTAATAAAGTAACACTAAGAAAGTAAGAGTGTAAATAAAAAAAATATTCTCTAAATTAAAATTAATTTATGCACTTCAATTAAATTTTGAATAAATTAACTGATTTTAATTTCTTTAAAAAAATTAATTTTAACTTACGTATAAACTAATTTAAACTATTTGGAGAAATTTAATTTATTTTTTATTCTAATTTTCTTATCTTCCTATAAATATAAAATGCTTATTAAAAAAAAGCATGATAATTTCTACATTAAAGAAATGAAGCTAAAAAAGTTGAATTACGTACAAATAACTTTCTTTCCCTCACTTGATGCTCCATAATTATCTTCAAGCTTCCTTTTTTTTTACAAGCAGGTAATGGTTGCTGCTTCTCTTAACAGCTTCAAGGGAAACTCTAGCAGTGTTATGGTGGAAGAAACTGTCAGAGAAACCAAGGAAATTGAAGCCCCAACAAATACCCTCATATTTCTCAATAAAGCAATTGAAAACAACAATTCATCAATGAAATGCACTGTGGAGCAAGTAGAAGATGTTAAGATAGTGTTGAAAGCACTACCCATATTTGGTTGCACCATTATGCTAAATTGTTGCTTGGCTCAACTTTCCACTTTCTCTATTGAACAAGCAGCAACTATGAACACCAAACTTGGTTCCTTCGCTGTGCCACCAGCCTCCTTACCAGTTTTCCCATTGATCTTTATCTTGATTTTGGCGCCAATCTATGACCACGTCATCATCCCTTTTGTAAGAAAAGTGACCAAAACAGAGATGGGCATCACTCACCTCCAAAGAATTGGAATTGGATTAGTCCTCTCTATATTTTCTATGGCAGTGGCAGCAATTGTTGAAGTGAAGAGGAAAAATGTGGCCATTCACTCAGGCCTCTTAGATGATGCAACCAAACCATTACCCATAACATTCTTTTGGATTGCTCTCCAGTACTTGTTCCTTGGTTCTGCTGATCTTTTCACCTTTGCTGGGATGTTGGAATTCTTCTTCACAGAGGCACCAATTAGGATGAGATCTTTAGCTTCTTCACTCTCTTGGGTCTCTCTAGCTATAGGGTACTACCTAAGTTCAGCAATTGTATCAATAGTAAATAGTGTCACTAGTATTGGCTCCCATAAACCATGGCTATCTGGGGCCAACCTTAACCACTATCGCCTAGAGAGGTTTTACTGGCTTATGTGTGGGCTAAGTGTGTTGAATTTCTTACACTACTTGTTTTGGGCTATCAAATACAAATATAGAGGAAAAGGAACTACAATTGAATGAAGAAAACAAAGGAAAAGTTTTCAAGTGTTATGCATAAGGCCTCAAGTTTCAAGGCCATTGATATCAAAATCTTTACGAGTCATTCTTCGATATTATCTTATACATACGTACGCACATATATACATATACATTAACATGCAACTGAGTGGATCAATGAGGATAGAAATATAATATAGGGAGAGAAAGATTCTATATTTTAAAGAAAGAAAAAGAGTGATAGAGGATTAAAGAAAGTACATCACATGTAATCAATTGACACTTTCATTAAGAGCAAGAATTTTATTTTTTATTTTTAAAGTATTTTTATCATACATTGTCTTCGTCTTTGCATTTTCAAAATGATGAATTTAATCCTCTATTTCCAAAAATGTGTGAATTTATTCCTTTCTCAATAATTTTGTTATGTTGGTCTGACAAACAATTTGTATAACAACTGTATTTATTTTAACTCATAATTAACTTGATTGTTACAATTTATTAGAAAAATTATAATTTAACATGTAAAATTTAATTAATTATAATTTTTGTGAGTATTTTGTGTAAGTTTTAGTTTATATATATATATATATGGAATATTTTTCTTTATAATCTGATTTTCATCTTCACTTTTTATTAGATCATTATATATCTTTTAATTATTTAAGCAAAATTAGAAAGTAAAAAAAAATTAATGTCTTTTCTTACATAATTACAAATTCAAATTCAAAATCATAAAAGATCATTTTCCTTTTAGTTTATAGATGGAGATTAGCATGGAGAACATTAATATGTGTTATAATTTACTCTATATAAATTTATAAAATTATTGTCTAAAAGTAAAAATAAAATCACATAATTAACAAGAGTTAAAGAAATATCACTTTTTAGTGTTAACAATATATTTTCTATTTTATCCTTAAATTAACTATTATAAAAATAATTGTACATTATGAAAAAAAAATTTAACACCATTTAATTAAAAAAAACTGTTTTCATTGCACTAGTAAAAGTAAAATGATTCATCTTCCATAAAGTAACAAGGACTAAATTGTAACAAAAAAAAATTGCTCCCTGTAATTTAGCGAAAGTCTTAAAAAGTACACAAGTATTTTCCTTAAAATCCAAATTGAGCCGGGTAGGGTGCGATGATTTAAACGGTGCGTTTTGGGATCGTGAGTTAAGAAGAAGTTAATTGGGTTGCAGGGTAGTAGAAGAGGAGTGTAGAGCAGAATCAGATCGAGATTGAAGTGTGGGTTACTGCGACTCTCTGCATCCCCTCCTCTGTTGGATCCTTCATCAGGTATTCCATAGATCCTTCAATTCTCTTCTTCACTGTCCACACTCAAAATCACTTCATTCAAACTCACTCAACTCAACCAACCACATTCACTTTCTTAAATTAACCTAAAACCCTTGCCATTTTCCGTAATTTGCAGAGAGACAAACGCACACGACACGATGAATTTCCTGATGCGCTCCTCCACGCACGTGTACTCCGAGAGGGAAAAGCCCTCGTCCACGGCAACGACGGCGACAACTCCGACCACTCCGGAACTTGGCGCTTCTTCTTTGGAGAGTCTCATGACCGATGACCCCTATGCCGCAGTGCAACACTTCGACGGCGAGGTCGATGGCCAAAACGGCGTCGTCGGGCAGGGTTCCAGAAACGACGCTCCCGTTTTGGCTAAGCACTTGGATGTCTCCGAACACGAAGGATGGATCACCATTCCTTACAGTATGGCTTCCAATACTATCCCAGACTTGTCTCTTACTTAAGGCAGTGTTTGGTTGATGTTTTTTAATGAAACAGTACATGAGGTTAAAGATATTAGTTCTACTAAAAGGAGTGGGATCAAGAAGAATATAGCGTAGAACTGAACTGTCTTGTTATTTTTTGTCTGTCTTTTTGTTGGTAACTAAGTTATAACTGTGATTTGGACTTGAGTGAAGTCATAATCAACGTCCAACATGGTTTTTGTTAGTGTTTGGATCAAAGCAATAGGCAAGGTTTTAAATCGTGGTCGCAGTTGCAGTTTTGTTACGAACCTTGATATTACAGGACATTGCACATAAATGCTGCTGATGTGGCGGCAATTGTGACCGCAGAGAACCCAAAAACCTTGACATTGTGGCCAAAATTGCGGATTTTTAAAACCTTGGTGGTAGGGTTTAGTGTTGAGGGAACACTTTATTTTTAGTCTATCGTTTGATGATGCTATGGGTGAGAATGTTCTGCTTATTTGATGTGACGCATCTGATTCTGAATTTCTATCTTTATAGAAGATCTACCTGAAAACTGGAATCATGTGGCGGATATGCAGTCTTTGCGCTCCCTAGATCGTTCCTTTCTCTTTCCTGGTAAGACTCTTTCCTTCTTTGGTATGGGAATCTTGGTGTATAGATGCCTGATTTGTTCTGCCGGGTCACATGGAAAGTTGATAGGATCTACTTTATGTTTGCAATTCAGGCGAACAAGTTCATATCGTAGCGTGCCTGTCTGCTTGTAAGCAGGATATGGAGATTATTACTCCATTTAAGGTTGCTGCCGTGATGAGTAAGAATGGCAAAAGTCATGGCCCTGACAAAGAAAATGGAAATGTTGAAAACCAAAATGATTTGGTATCTGGAGAAGGACAAGAGCAGAAAGAGGAAAGCCTGGAAAAAGTGAAGACTGATCACTCAGCAGGTGTTTCTGCTGGTGAATCCCTTCTAAGGATGGAGGTTCACAAAAGACAAACTGCATTACTGCTGCAAAAATTTGAGAATTCTCACTTCTTTGTGAGGATTTCTGAGTCTGATGAGCCACTTTGGTCTAAACGAGGTTCTTCAAAAAAGTCCAACTCCTCTGAACGGATTGCATCATTTGAAATGAAAGAGACTGTGAAAAATGCATCTTCTATTAGTGCAGTTATTGATAGAGCAAATTTTGATGCAACTATTTCTGGTGGAGTGGCAAGAAATTCTGTCAAGTGTTGTGCTCTACCAAATGGAGACATAGTGGTATGTGCCATAAAATTTCAGTAACTATGAACATGATCATGCAATTTCATGATAAAAATTTTGATATGGATCCTAAAGTTCGACTGTCAGATGGAGTACTACTATTTTGGTATTTTCTTCAATTTTGCAATTTCCCAACATGCAAACAAACAATCTATTTGGCGTCCAACTCCAACTTATATGTTCATCCTGGTTGTATAGCGCATGGAAAATCATTTAGTAAAAATGTATAAAATCTTACCACATCTGGAGGATGTTGTGCTATGAGTTTATTGTGTACCATACCATCCAATTCATTTGTTCATCCTGTTTATGAAACTCATTTAAAATCATTTAGTAAAAGTGTATAAAATCTTACTGCATCTTGATGATATTGTGTTTTGAGTTTATTGTATGCTCTGCTTTGATTCTGCTTTTAACTGCATTATCAATGTTTACAATATTTATATTTCTCTGGGGCATTTGGAGCCGAAGTTTTCTATTTGGTACTTGGGCTGTTATGGAGTATATTTACCTGTGTAACTATCATCATTATTTAGATTTCTGGACATATGTTTTGTGATGTGGAGGTTTTACTTCAATCTAGTCTTTAACTGGCTACTCCTGGCTATAGCCTAGGTCTCTTATCTTTATTTTACTTGAGCATTTGTAAATTTCAAATTTCAATTATATTTTGGTGGCATTTGTCCTTGCCTCTGTAATATGTCAGAGATCCTTATGAAAACTTCCTCATGTGAAACTCCATTGGATCAAGAAATGCTTTTTATATGACTTGATCTTGAGACATTTTTGTCTTTGATAGTTTGATATCTTCCTAATTATGCTTGGCCATTCTCATTTACTCAGATAACTGATCTGATTCTATTTTCCTGTTTGGAAGGATCCAGGTACTTTTACAGGTGAATGTTGGTGTTGATTTACTTAGAGACCCTTGTATAGAAATTCTTCAATATGAGAAGTATCAGGAGAACATATTGTCTTCTGAGAACCAGGACAATTTAGTTCACACAAATCAGGATCCATGTGGAGCCCTATTAAAATGGATACTTCCATTAGACAACACTGTTCCCCCTGCTTCTCGCCCGTTATCTCCGCAGTTATCTTCAAATTCAGGAATCGGCAACACCTCTCAGAGGTCCAATTTTTCAGCATCATCTGGCTCTCAATTATTTTCGTTTGGTGGCCATTTTAGAAGTCACTCCTTGTCCTCATTACCCCAAAATACGAGTGCACCAACTGCCCCTTTAAAAGCAGCTAGCTCTAAGCCAAACTTTGACATTGAAGATTGGGATCAATTCTCGTCTCAGAATCTTTTTAAGAAAAAAAATGGAGTTGAAGAACTTTTATCTTTTCGAGGTGTATCATTGGAGCGAGAAAGGTTTTCTGTTTGTTGTGGATTAGAAGGTATCTACACACCCGGAAGAAGGTGGAGAAGGAAATTTGAAATAATACAACCTGTAGAGATTCATTCTTTTGCAGCTGACTGCAATTCAGAGGATCTTTTGTGCGTCCATATAAAGGTTTGAACTATAACATCATTGAACCAAACTATTTGCCATATTTACCTTTATTTTTGTTGAATATTACAGCTTCATACTTTTTTGGGGGGCATTTATACAGTTAATTGTTCTAAGCTTCTGTTTTATTAATATTTTATAAGTTGTTCTCCAGAATGTTGCTCCTGCACATGTTCCAGATATTGTGATATACATAGATGCCATAACAATAGTTTTTGAAGAAGCTACAAAAAGTGGACCACCATCATCGTTGCCAATTGCTTGTATTGAAGCTGGAAATGACCATTCTTTACCAAATTTAGCCCTCAGGTTTTTATTTTAATTTTTTTTTTTATGTATCTTATTGTTTTTTGTATTGTTACTTATCTGCTATCATGCTGTATACACCCCAGGCTTTTCAGTTACATATGCTTGTTCCATGATGCCATGTAAACTATCCATGAATATGGAACTATGGATTCAATACTATGAGTATTGTTACTTATTGATGTGGAAAAGGCCTTAAATTTTCTTTAGTACCATGTAGGTTTAGGAATGGGAAGAGAATCTTTCTTTGGAAGAGTAGAAATGATAATTTTCATAGTAACCTTTGAATTTTATTTAAATAATAATAATAATCCTCTAAATATCATGCTGCATGTGCCCCTGGTTATTTAGTTATGTATGCTTGTGCTGAGTGAACCAATCCAACCCTTTAAAAGAGAGGAGAAATTGTTTCGAATGCCATGTAAGATATCCATAGTGTGGGTTATATATGCAATTGAGAACACCAATATTAATGATATAGAAAAGGCCTTAAATTTTCATTAGAACAAGAGGATAGGAGAGAAAACTCTCCTCCAAGGGTTTCCCCTTCACTCCTTTCACAAAGAGCTAATGCTCAATATACCAATGAAATGATCTCCCTTCCTCCCCTCTACCAAGTAACCTATTTATGGATATGATATACCTGGCCCATGATATTCTTCTACCCTTGATTCTATATCCTAATAGAATGCATGAATTTGTTTCCGAGTTTAAATCAATCGGATTAACTGTTTAAAAATAACAGAAGATACCTAATAGTAAATATGCTGATAAAAAAAACAAAAAAAAAAAACTAGGTAGTAGTAAATATGGTTGGTGAAATTTGGAATTTGGTTTATAATTTATGTAGTTAGCTCTAATCATCATCATCTCACTAGAAGTTTCTAATTACAGGAGAGGTGAAGAGCATTCTTTTATCCTTAAACCTGCAACTTCTATGTGGAAGAATCTAAAGGCTCAGGATGAAAGCTCTCAGTTTTCAAAGTTGCAATCTCCAAACTCAGCATCAAAATCAAGTCTTTCCTCTAAGAGTCTTGACAGAACAAAGATTGCTTCAGTTGACGATCAGTATGCTATTATGGTGTCTTGTCGATGCAATTATACAGGTAAGCTTTTTTGTCTCCTTGGTTTATTGATGTATTGTCTAATAATTGCTAAGGAGTTAATTAGTTGTTTCCCCCATATTTTTTGCTTAATATAGCATCAAGACTATTCTTTAAGCAAGCAACCAGTTGGCGACCACGTACATCGAGGGATATTATCATCTCTGTTGCTTCTGAGATAACAGGAGAGTCTCCTGGACCTTATGAAAGAAATTCTCAACTTCCTGTGCAGGTCAATATATGTTGCAACTATTGACTATCTTCAATTGGGCCCTTGGCTTGCATTGGAGCTTTATTTGGGTTGTTTTGAATCTTTTTCCTACTTAAATTACAATTTGATTAGCTTAATTTTTTCTCTTTTATCAGGTTTTAACTCTTCAAGCTTCAAATTTGACATCTGAAGATCTAACTTTGACAGTGCTTGCTCCAGCCTCATTTACTTCACCCCCTTCAGTGGTCTCTCTGAGTTCACCCACCAGTCCAATACCTTTCATTGGTTTCACAGAGTTTTTAGGAAGGTTAAATGGTGAAAAACATTCTGGTGCCAGCCAGGGGGGAAGCTTTACTTCTCTCATAAAAGAAAATGAGAACCAAAATGATGATGTCAGACCTCAGTCAGTTTCAATGAATGATGATCTCATTCCTAGTTCTGGCTTGAGTTGTACACATCTTTGGCTGCAGAGTAGAGTTCCACTCGGGTAATATGTCGGCTCTCTTTTTTATTTCTATCACTTTGTTAAAACTAATACTGATCAATTTAAAACCATGTATTGGCCACATCAGATGTATCCCCTCTCAATCCACAGCCACCATTAAGCTTGAGCTACTTCCATTGACAGATGGCATAATTAAACTAGACTCCTTGCAAATTAATGTCATGGAAAAAGGTACGGATCTCAATACATTTTTCTTAATGCGTAAGCTTCTATCAATGAATTATTTGGTCAATACTTAGTAATGAGTTGATGGGAGATGAACTGCTTCCTAAACGTCTGTTAATTCTTGGACTGTCTTGATTGTGTTGAAGAATCACTCATGGACATAATTGTAACTTGGACACAGCAATTTTAGTCATGCATTTTATAATGTCTTGTGTTTGGCTTCCCCTAGAAGTGATATTTCTGTGCCAGACACTCATTTGTGCCTTTTTTATTTAGTTAATTGTTCTGCTTAGGATTAGTCATTGATTCTATTTTCTAGTTTTCGACTATGATCACTTTACGTGTTTACAGGTGCAAAACATGTTCTTACAACAATTTACATTAAGAAGTTTGGTTTATTTTGTGCATTCTGTTTTGTTCTTCATCAGAAACAGTTTCCATTCTCTGCATATAGTGGTAACCGAGATGCAAAATGCCAATTACGATATTGCTCAGGTTCTCATGGGTTAACATTATGGTGTGAACAGGAGTTACCTACATCCCTGAACGCTCGCTAAAGATAAATGCGACATCTAGCATTTCCAAGGGGATTATGTAAGATGGACTTAGGCTGGTTGCATTTTTTATTAAGCATGTTATCCAGTACAGTGGAAACAAATATGGACATTTGTTTACCGGGATTTAAAATTGTTCTTCCGACATACTCTCAATGGCACAAAGGTATCTTCCGTTATTGTAGCATTGTGGTGGAGTTGGCGTGTTAATTTGTCTAGAAATAGAGGTTCACTTTTGTGTTGTAAACCACGAGCTTAAAATAGATGATTGTTACATACCCCTTTAAGGGGAAGAATGTAATTTTTATAGATAGATCTATTTTTCTGTGAAGATGTACTTATCCGTCTCTTCAGAGTGAAAGCAATGAATCGACTCTCGATTCATAGCAGTTGGCAGCTGCAATTCAGTGCTTTTCTATTGATCACCAGTGGAAGCCTTGTATTCATGAAATGCTACTTTACATTTTGTTGTTATTTTTTTTGTTTTACATTATTACACATGTTTGATGTGACTGCATCTAACTCAAGTTGATTGTAGTTTTTTTTTTCCTTGTCAAAGGTAAGTGACCATTGAAATTGCGTAGCATATTTATGGAGAATATTTTAACGAATTACCGTATATTCTCTAGTCTTCCCAAACCTGCTCTTGACGAAGAATATTACTCTATACTTAAGTTTCTGCATAACTTTCTCCGGCCTTATTCTAGCTATGCTCTCACTGTTCACTGTTGCAGACATAGACAAAAAAAAATAACCTTGTCTTATCACTCCTAATTTATTTTAAAGTATGCTGTATTCTTAATTTATTAAGTGACGTTAAGTATCAGTTTCTCATAATATTTTTAATACACTCGATGAAAGTTTGTTTAAGATTATAAAGTGAGACGTGTCATTTTTTAAATCTCCACTAATTTTTAATCAAATCTAAAGAACATTTTAAATTAGCGGGTTGTCAAGTGTGTTAATAATATTTTTCTTATCTTACATATTAGGAGCTTGTGTAAGTTAATTATGCAAGGGATAAGCTTATTGTAAATGATCCTTTTACTAATAAAATACCAAGCCAATCTATACCCAATGGAACTATACACAAACTCCCAATAGAAAAGGAAAAAGGAAAGACGACCATGGAATAATGTAGTGAAGAACGACACAAAAAGACACTACATTTTCCTTATTGTTTATAAGTTAATTGCTTTATATTTACGTAACTCATGTATTGCATCCAATTAATTATGGACTTTTAGCGATATTTACAAAATAAATAAATAATAATAATTTTAAAATCTTAAATATATTAAGTTGGTAAAAATTAAATTAACTCAAAACATGTGTCTTAGTTACTATATTTTTTTTCTTATAACTAAGATATTGATACAAAATATTCACCGTCGAAAATAGTAATTAATCTTTGTTAGGATTGTGAGTATATATAAGGTGAGTATTTTGCTCCCAATATAACTTATTTTATAATCAAAGTCAGGATTTGAGTCATAGACGAATTGGTTAAGGGACATAAATTGCTATCACTTATGTCAACTAATATTGATATCTTAGTTTCTACTTTGTGATTAGAAGCTATTATGTTTGGGTAATTATAAGCATAAGTCTATTTTTTTTCATCTCACTTCTGCCTCACTTCTCTTTTTATCTCTAATATTTCTCATCATGACTCTCATTCTCTTTCTAGCAAGAGAGGTGAGAGTTGATCTCCCTCACTTCCATGGAAAAGATGGTGAGGAAGCTTATTTTGATTGGGAAATGAAAGTGAAACAACTATTCATTTACTACCAAGTGAAAAGAGAGTAAAGTTCCTTTGGCTACCTTAATCTTTCAAGGTTATGTTATGTATTAGGAAACTTCCCTTGTAAGAAAAAGAAGACTCCACAATGACCCTCAATCACATCTCAGAGTGATCTCAAAGGGACCGTGAGGAGAAGACATATCCCTTTTTGTAAAGTTATGGCACAAATTTCTTCCATATTTCCTGTTTTAAGGAAAACACGTTTCCTTGATTTTAGGCCATGATTCCATGCATGGTTTCCTCCTTATTTTTTCCCATGTTTTGCTCATTGTTTTGTCCCAGGTTTCCTTATTTTGGGTGCATACGCTTGTTAAGTCTCAATTTTACCTCTTTTTGGATGAGACTTATTGAACAAATTCCACTCATCCTTTGAACCATTGCAATATAATTGTTCTCTTTTTGGTTCATTTTGTGTGCAGATATAACTAACCCAAATTTAGCTAACAATACCTTAATACACCTCATTTTTGTGCAGGTATTGAGCTAGAGATTTGAGGATTGAAGATCTTTTGGATTGGAAACATAAGGAGCCAAGGAGCAGAGCAGAGTGGCTGCGCCGGGCGCAAGATGACTCCGCGCCGGGCTTGAGAAGAACAGAGCAGTGGACTTCTGGAAGTCATACATGCGCCGGGCGCGAGACTCCACCACGCCGGGCGTGATCGAGGCAGAGAGTACCTCAATACTCTCTGGAACGAATTGCGCCGGGCTTAATAGAGAATTGCGCCGGGCTTGCTCTAAGGCAGAGAATGCTTGAAAGCCTCTGGAAGACACTGCGCCGGGCGTAAAAGTAATTGCGCCGGGCTTATAACGAGGCAGAAAGTGCTCAGAAGACTCTGAGCCGGGCGCGAAGACTTATGCGCCGGGCGCGAAACCCTAATCTGACCTCCCAGGCTCGTATTTGAAGCCATTTTCGAGGGTTTCTCCCTCATTCTCACATTGGGCGCCTCCAGGAGCTGCGGAAGGGATTCCCAGGGCTTGGGATCGTCCGTGTGCGGATCTTTCCTTCGGTTCTTCATTTCCTCTTCCATCTCTATTTTGTATTTGCCCTCTTTGTTGAGTGGTTTCACCCATTTTGTGGGGTTAGATGTAACCAACGTACTCTATTGTAATCTTTACGGTTTTAATGATATATATACATGTTGTTTTATTCTTTGTTGTGTTTGTTTCTATTCTTAATGCTTGCTTTGGATTGATCACCCTTTGCATGATTTAAGGTTCCATGGGTATTGGAAAATAACCTTTGAAACTAGTTCTGAAACATATGCCTAGTGGTGATTGTATCTAGGGATAGAGCTTGACCCATTAGTAGTCTTAAACCCTAGCCCGTAATGCGGGTGTAGATATTGGGTACTCAAGGGATTGATATTCAATATCCGCATCTAGGCTCTTTCTCTAAGGGATTAGGTTTGAGTAAACTTTTGGGTTGACTAAGCAATGAATTCAACAAGAGATTAAGGATACATTAGTGTTACGTTCGGTGAAATCTGACCCCCACAACCTCACAATACCACAATACCATTCCTTACCTTTTCCACTCACAAAACAATATTTATTTACAGCTTTCATTCCAATAGTCACAACTTTGCATTCACTGCACAAACTATGAAATTGGAATTATTCTTTAGTCACGAATAGTCAATAAATGCTTATATTACCTTCTAATCCCTGTGGATACGATATTTTTACTACTTGAACGGCCGGTATACTTGCCGTGTTTGAGACCGTTGATAGAATTAAACAAATTTACAAATATTAACAAAAGTGTTTCAACGGAATTCTCAATAAGTTTTTTTCTTCTCAATGCCTATATAAGGCATCAAGCATTTGGAGCAAAGAGCAATTTGATTCAGCAATCTACACACTTGAGAAAAATCATACATAGAGAGGAAAGATTCAAGAGAGTATTTTTAGTCTATATTTGAGAGATTATCTCTTTGTTCTCATAATATTAGAGAACTTCTTGTACTCTCCTATTTCTACATAGTGGAATTATCTTGCTCTTGATCGCCCGTGGTTTTTTCTCCGTCTTTGGAGTTTCCACGTAAATATGGTGTGTATTTATTTATTCTTGTCTCTCTACTTACTTCTCTCTATCTCTAATTAACTTGATCTGGTGCTTCCGCATTCCGCTCATTCTTTCTGATACCCAACACTTTCTATTATGAAAGGGAGCTTAATGATAAACTCCAAAGACTCAACCAAGGTAGCATGAGTGTTGAGGAATATAGGCAATAAATGAAATTGTATATTATGAGGGCGAGAATAAGGATAGAAGAAATATCTACAATTGCTAGGTTCTTTAGTAGTTTGAGCATAAAGATAAAGGATAAGGTAGAGTTTTTGCCATATAGAGACCTAAATGACTTGGTCCAATTATGCATAAGGGTTGAGCAATAATTGAAGAGGAGAGCTTTTTTTAAGAAGAACTCCTCATCATCATCTTTCAATCCTGAGATTGACCAAAGAAAAGAAGGTTATTCTTCAAAGAGTTACCCTTAAAGTAAGTTATCAAAAGGCATAAGTGAAAAGAACAAACTCTTACATGAAAGACACCCCAATGCTAGTTTTAGCATGTCAAGTGCTTTAAGTATCTAGGAAGAGATCACATTGATTCTCAATGTCCCATAAAAAATGATCATGAGAGATCTAGACCATTATAGTAGTTAAGAGGATATTGCATTTTCTTCCTCCACTTCTTTGAAACCAACCTTGTGATTTGAACCACTCACACAAAGAAAACATCTTTCATACAAGATGTAAAGTTTTTTACAAAAGATGTTCTTTTATTGTGGATAACGGTTCTTGCTACAATTGTTTTAATACAAGGTTGATAGAAAAGTAGGCATTCAGTATTATTCCCCACCCAAAGCCTTATAGGCTCCAATGGTCAAATGAAAAAAGGGACATGGTAGTCAACCTACAAGTGAAGATCAAGTTTTATTGGAAATTATAAGAATGAAGTTTTATTCGATGTATTTCCTATAAACTAGTCATATTTTGTTGGAAGGTCATGTCAATTTGATAAGTTATCCATCATCGTCTTACCAATGAAATCTTTTAAATATGTAACATAGTGGTATGTTCTACAACCTCTACTTACTTTAGAGAAATCAAATCATAGAAAACTTAATTTCTTTGGAGTAAGAAGATTATACTTTTAAATAACAGAGTATGATAATAATTATTAATTAAAAAATTAACTATTTGTATTATAATTTATTTAAAACTTATATTATTTATGAATTTAATTTTATCACAATTATTAATTTATTTTTAATTAATAATTGAGTGTATTTTAATTTTAAAAATATCTCTCTCGGAGGAATCAAATCTGTACTTAAATATCATTACACTACAACAAAATTTATTTTTAATGACAATTATTTAATGGCAATAATTTAATTGCCACCATATGTAAAAATATTAATGGCTAATATATAATAGCCACTAAAAATATATTTATATTACACTAAAGTTTACTATTAGCGACAATTATTTAGAAAAAACTTAAGTCCCACATTGATTAGAGATAAGATAATTAAATAGTATATAAGTGAGTAATAACTATCACCTTACAGGTTCATTTTATAGGGTTGACTCCTAATTCACTATTCTAAATTGGTATCAAATCACTCATTGTTACCAACTTCAATAGTGCTATAAAACAATTAGAGACCAACTTTGACCTTATAAATCTCACATCGCTTAAAATACAACATAATTAAAAAATAAATTAAAAAATATATAAATAAAAGACAACTTTCATCTTACAAATCTCATATCGAGTAGAGATAAAAAAATATATAA